GTCTCCAAAAACCTCCTGAGTCCAAATCTTTAAATGACTTCTAATGTTCTTAAGTTTAATCATGAATTTGTACCCTGCCCAACCTTGAATAGTCTCCTCCCTCTACCAACCAGCAAAACTCTCCTTGAAATGATGATCATCCAACCACATATTTTCAAAACAAAACGGTGAAGGTCCCCATGATGGTGGATTTGTCGTCAAAATAATCAGACAATGATCTGAAACATTCCTAACCGCCACTTCTTGTCGAATATAATTGAAACATCTCACCAAAATTGGAAGAGAACAAGATCCTATCCAACCGCAAGCAAATAGGAACTTCTCTGAAGTTAGACCAATTGTATAGAGCATTGTTTAGAGGCGGATTTATCACTTCCATTTCTCTTATCAACTTGTCAAATCTTCTCATACTCCGAGTGTACGTCGAGCTATTTTCTTTTTCATTAACGTTCCGAACCACATTGAAATCTCCGCCCAAGCACCAATTACCACCACACACTACCCATAAGCCCACAATTTCATACCAAAAAGAGTCCATGCCAAAGATTTGGTTGGATCGTAAATACCTGTGAACCACCAATCCTCTCCATCCCTCCTAACATGAATAGAAACTGAAAAATCGCCAATCAAGCTTTCCACCACATTCACTCTTCTAACATCCCAAACCACCAAAATACCTCTAGATCTTCCCATAGATGGCAAGAAAACCCATTCTTTGAATCTCGACTTCCAAATGCTACTTATAAACCTCCTCTTCACTTCCTCTCTCTTGAGCTCTTGCAGAACCAAAATATCACAATCTTCCTTGAAAACAACCTCCTTAATGCTCCCTCTTTTCAAACGGGAGCCACTTCCCCTAACATTCCAAGACATAATCTTCATTTAAGAACGTGTGTGCCCCTTTTACTGGTTGACTTTTCATAGTTAGCATTAAAAGTCGGATTTTGCAATTCTCTACTTCCCCCTTTTTTCCTTACTTGTCTATTTTTGCTCTCTTCCTTTCCTTCTTTCCTGTTCGGTACCAATAACATTTAACCTCTCCAATGTCCACCACATCCCCCCACTTAACCAATTTGCCATTGTATCTCCACTGATCCGTTTCTCAACATTCAGGTTCCTCCTATGATTCCGACAACTCCATTCTTTCCATCGATTGCTCCTAACAAATCACCTACGTTACCCAGGCCTTCTCCATCCTTCCCAATCTTTCCACCCAAGCTTTCTCCCTCACCACCCGAACCTTCTTTAACCTCTCCCAACATTTTCGATACTCTGCCCTCACCGCCCACACACTCCTCACCCTCACTCGACACAAGACCTAAGGACTGCTCACTGTGAGTGATTGCTTTAGGGGTACTCAAGATTTGTAAGGGAGTAACGACAAAAATTTCTCGGTTCAAATTAAAGCTAGGGTCAAAATGACTTACATGATTCATGTAACCCGAACCATCTTGATTGTCATACAGAATTAGCCTTACCTCTTCTAACCCAACAAACTGTTGTGGGTCCCTTTCCATTTGAGCGTCCGTATATATCCAAAGCTTCCTTATCTTTGTCAGAACTACTATCTTCTTCTAGCGATGAGTTTGAGGCACCGTTCCTGACAAAATCATTGTCACTTGATTCCCCTGTGAAATCTTTGCAACCCGCATCATCAACGCCATCTAATTAATGATCCTCACGCATGTACCATATTTTCTGCAAATCACCCTTTGAAAAGGATTGTCTGAAACGCTTTATTGTCCCCTCTAAACCATCTACCTCGTTCGAACCATCATCCTCACACAATTGCAAAGTGCAATTAACTGTCACTTCTTTGTTTAAATGGTTCGAATTGCAATTTTCATCCCACCGCTAAGTTAACCCAACAAAAAATCCTCAAGGTTCTTTGGAGATGCTTTGAGAAATTGTGGCTTTGCTTTTGAACTCAACAATTCTGTCGCAAGTCCCAATCTGCTTGTCGTTTTCCTTGAGTCAATTTGATCGGAAATTTCTCCCATGTGAACTGCTCGTGATTCACTTGACTCCCAACCTGTGACGTTTTGGGTTTGTTGGGTCAAAGGGTTGATCTAGATTGTCTGGGTTGGCCGACAATTAAATTCAACTTCCATTCTATTTTGAAAGGGGAAAATAAAACAAATACCCCTTAAAAGTGTAGGGATCAAGATTTCTACCCCGTATTCTTGATTAGTAACCTATTTAGTCAAATAACTATACTAACAAAAGCGTATTAATCAAGAATGAGGGGGGTAAACATCCTGCAAAAATTCTGCAATTTTCTCAAATTTTTTTGAAATTCTAAATTCTTAAAGAGGTAGTCCATTTTTGGTTGGGCTTTTGCTATTCAGCCCAAATTGGTTGTTGAGTAGAAACCCTTCCTCTGATCTCTTATCTTCCTCATACACTTTAATCAAATTTAGTGCCTCAAACCTATTGTTCCCTGTATTATAATTACCCCCTAAATTATTGGAGCACTCGCCAATTGTTTTCTTGATAAATGAACAGCATGTGACATCCGACTCCTCTTTCTTCAGGTTCTCCTAGAAAGCGTTGGCATGGCTTGCTAGTTGGACATGCTACATCCGCGTTGTCTATCGGTGTGCTTGCCTCGTCAGTTTGCCCTAGACACGTGGCATCACCGTCATCCGAAGACTCCTGATGTGCCCTAAGGAACCAAAAAGTAGGATAGGGTCAGTTAAGGATCGCTAGATCAAGAGGAGAGGATTCTCGTTTGGTTGGCTATGCTTCAGCTAATTGGCCGGGATTTGTGGAATTCGAATTACTTGGAGATCAAGTAAAAGTGTGGGGGCTGGAAGGAAAGGTATTTTCTGGGTTCTTTATGGGTTGAGAACTCGTGAAAGGGGCAGGGCATTATCAAGAAAAACGTGAGAGAAAGAAAGAAAGAAAACATGGATCGAACATTGCAGTTGTTTGATAAGGAAGCTCCGCCACAAACAAAGGACACGGGCTGGTTCGCCACAACTAGGTTGGCTCTCTAGTTGATAAGAACTCTAGGGATTCTCGCCACCAAAGACACTTGGATAAGAGAAAAGAGAGACTTTCTGAAAAAGAGCAATTCAAACTCAGTATTTTCTTATTGACATCCCAATGCTGGGCATGGGGCTTTATTTATAGCCTTGACCTTGTTACATAAAAAGGAAATAAACTTCAACAAGAAAAGGAAACTAGAAAATAATCTAGATTTGTCCTAAATTGGGAAACTAGGGAAAATACTTGGTGACCAAGAAATTGCCTTAATTCCCATTACAACTTGATTGAAACAAAAACAGGAAACAAAACATAAAACAAAAACAAGAAACAAGCCACAAAAGGGAAATAACAATTGACCTCTCCTTCCTTTTCCTTATGGCGTGTAGATTTCTTCCAAAAGAAGCTAGGGTTTTCTTCAAATACGTCCAGCCTTCCTTTGTCGTCCAAAAAAATAGAGTAAATTGACTAATTTACCCCTAGAGCGTGTGATAGGACCGGAATAGGAATTCTCCTCATGATGAAGCTCATCAACTCCACCTCATCATCATCATCATCAACCTTCGAACACCACCTCGATTTTCCTACTCCAAAACCTTCAGCTACCTTTGGCCTCAAATTTTTATCCAGATTAAAGAAACCCATAGTTTTCTTTCCCCAACATCTAATTTCTAGAGTCAATGGAATAAAACCTTTTGCCATACCTTTTAGTTGAATTTTGGCATAACATAAGAACTTCAAACTCGTCGTGTCGTTAGCTACGTTGAGAAGGCCTCCGAGCTTGTTTCGATGACATTGAATGTGTGTCTATTCGACATATGGAGTGGAAGTCCCTCTATTCCAATCCAATTGTTCATGCCTTATAGTTTAACGCTTTCCAATGAGTTTCGATACACCATATCTTGATCGTAATTGCATGACGACCTTTGGGACAAGCACTGCCTTCCTCCACAAGCATGTCACGTTCATGATCGTTATGACACCATACTATTGTTGTCTGCAAACAGAGGACATATGTTAGTTTTCCTATGAAGTTTTTCACTTGAAATCTCTATCCATCCTTCTTCCAACCAATCCCTGTAAACAACCACAGCTCTCTCCCACCTCTTCTCTACATTTTCTTCTTTTGCATATGATATGCTCTCATGCTTAGAAGCAGCTCGATTGATCACTTTCCTTTTGAGAGATTCATTCTCAAGGATTTGGCTCTTCTTGTTAAAGAAGTTTTTCAAGCACCCTTTGAACTCCCGCCACCCTCTTCTATTATCCTCCCCATGGATAATGACATTCTTCACCTCGCCTCTGTTGATTCTCATCACCTTCAGAAATTCTCTCGTGACATTTCTCTTTATCTCCACAACTAGGACATATGATGAACCTATTTCGCAAGAAAACTCCTACGTTTTTTGCAACCATCACCTGAGACGCAACTTCCATTAAACAAAGAGCACCACCCAAGTCAAGACTAACCTCGAAACTGGTGACTCGATTTCATACTTTGCCCATAATCTATAATTTGTAAAATGAATACCTTATGTTTGGTTCTAAAATCTTGATCACAATAACTCATTATGGACTAGATAAGGATTGCTAACCATAAGACTCCGACTTTAAAATTCTAGAGAGAAGGTAGAGCTTCTCTCTCTACTGCATGAACCTTACTACCGTGCATGTTTTACTGTTTCTATCTCAACCAGTGCTGATCGACAGAAATAATCCTTTGTTCCACTTGATCTCAATATTCGATGACAAGAAAGAGCATCTTTTGTTTGAGTTGGTCTACATACATTAAAATCTGACATGGTCTAGAATGCAAGAGAAGAGAGATAGAAGGTGAAAAGTGATGGAGAGAAAAAAAAAGAAAAAAAAAAAGAAAGAAAACTATTAAGTTCATTAAGTTTTTTTCAAGCTATTAAGTTATCTTACCCTTCAAAATTCCAACCCAAAGAATGTTTAGATACGAGAATATATGGAAAACTGATCAAACCAAAAACAAAATAAACTGTACATACCTTTTGAAGGCGCTAATAGGTTTTCCCAAGATCCCATCTCCAGTTGGTGGAAGAGCATGTGGAGTAACCACATTCACTCCAACAAGTTCAATTTTCAGTGGTTTTCCATCGAGACGAACAGTGTCGTACCTCTTGATAGCTGCAAGAGCATCCAAGTAGTGTACAAAGACAACTTCTGCTGTTCCCTGAACAAAAGCAAGCTTTCTAAGTTACTTGAATGCTTCTTAAAAGGAATCTCAAAAATGCAAAGCAGTGAAAATACCTTTGATTTTCCATTCTTATCATAATGGATTGTATTCTGCATCACTTCACCAACATCAGAGAAGAGAATCTGCCCATTTGAGAAGTAGGTCTTAGCCCTTTCTAGAGACATGATTAAAGACATCTTTTGAGCTTTAAGACTAAGATTGGTGAATATATTCCAAGTTACATCAAGGGCAGGAAACTAACCAGTGACAAGAATCCAGAAACCTTGAATTATAAAATTCAAAATCAACGCTATTTATTTCTTTTTTGAAATTTTTAGAATAAAAAAAGGAAACAGAATAATGAAGTACAAGGCAAGGAAAACAAGATGTCCACCTGAACAAAAAATAAAAAAGAAAAAGAATGTAGAGATAACAATAATAAAAGATGAATAAACTGCATCAACAATTGTCATTTCTAAGGGGCCTAACCAAATCAGACAATAGGAGATTATTAAATCATCTTCGTCAAATAAAACTGCACCCCAGAATTTCACTTTATTCCATACTTCACTGAAACATTCCCCTAATTCTTCAAAGATCCTCTTATTCCTTTCTAAACATATTGCTCAACAGAAACACAATATAGTAGTGTCCCAAATCTTCTTTCCCTTCATGTTGAAACCGGAGTCATAAGGAGATACAAACACATCTTTTTCTTTTCATATTTTTTTTTTATAAGAAAGGGGATACAAACATATCAGCACATTTTGAAGGAGAAATCCAATTCAGCCGCAACTCTTGTATAATCCTTATCCAAAATCCTCTACAAAAGGAGCGGTGCAATAAAAGATTACCAATAGTTTCTGCACCCACTTCTAGCTTTCAGATGCTATCAAGTAAACAGCTTCATCTTCAAATGATAAAGTGTACAGAGACAGATGAACAACAGGGTACAAGCACAAAGAATATGCAAGAAACTGGCCAGTGTTGGAGAAAGAAAAAATGAAGAAAATGCCGCAATTTTTATCATAAAAGCTGGTCGAAATTAACTAAAATGGATATTTCGAGATTTGGAAATCATACGGTGACATTTTCATGTTGAAGACCTAAAAACAATACCTAGTACCCTTTCAATTTCTTATATTCTTTTAAACACTCGGTTGAAACAAAACCCAGACACAATCATTCACTAATTGACAAACTGCCACAATAGAACACAAAGAAAGTTCATCAAATTTTGAAACTCAAACCATACGCATCATGGGAAACAAAGTCATTCCACATTTTAAAATCCAAACAAGTCAACAATCTAAAACCTTAACAAGCATAAAACATAAGTCTTGTCCACTTATTCAGGGCACAATAACTTGACTGGAAAAGGACATGTCCATACCTCGAGATCATCATTAGAGACATCAGAATTCAAGTTCGAAATGTACAATTTGGTGCCCTCCTGCGCCTTAGACCCTCCTCCGCTCAGAACCACTTTCTCCTGTAACATTTACATGCAAATATCACGTTTTGCAAAAATCTATCAAAAACAGTGCATCAAAACTATAAACAAGAGTCGAATCCGAAATTGTGTTTTATGTTTCTCATTTTCCCCAATTTTCTCAGCTACCAAACATCGTTTAAACTCATGGAACTCCAAAATGTAGACAACAAATAATCCGTATCTTACCTGTATGAGAGAGTACGGCGTGGTCCTGGCCGAGAGGCGGTTCAAGAAGCGACGATCCGGTCCTGACCCAGCGACTCGGGCGGTTCGGTCTCGGTCTTTGGGCCTAAAGTTGGCATTGCGATTGTAGCCCCCGGGTTTCTTGTTCTTCGCGATGAGGTCGTCAAGAGACATGTCCAGAAAGTCCTGCATTTTCGTGTGCAAACAGTCAGCGACAGAGGCTCGTGGTGGGTTTTGGTCCTTTTCCGGAGTAGCAGAAGGGTTTTTGCAGAGCTCTGTGATGGCGGGTTTTGGCGCTTTTGGGGACACGACCCAAAAAAAAAACAACAAAAAGACCGAAAAATAAGGCTTTGTGTTTAGTCCTTAGTTTGAATTTTCAAGTTAGAAATATAACGTGTTTAAAATTAATTCTGTTTTTATTTTTTACGGTTTTTTTTAAAAATAAAAAATAAAAACATTTTTAAAATGATGTTTGACGCAATAAAATTAAAAAACAGAAATAAAAATAATTTTTTAATTTAATATAAAATGAGACGCAATAAAGATAAAAAACAAAAATAAAAATAATTTTTTAATTTAGTGTAAAATGAGAGAGAAATGAAAAACGACTTTTAGTCGTTTTCTATTTTTTGTTTTTATTTTCTCCTCTCTCGAGCAGAGAGAGACATTAATGAATTTTTTTATACTAAAAATAATCATTTGATAAAACTACTGAACGCATTTTTAAAAATGAGTTCTGTCTAATATTGAAAACATTTTCATTTTCATTTTCATACAAAAAACAAAATCATTTTGGAACGAGTTCCAAACGCGCCCATAATTTTTTATATGAGAGTTTTTTACTGTATCAGAAAAAGTTAGATGTGATTTTTTATTAGAGTTTTTAACTGTAATAAAATTAAAATTAAAAACTCAAATTAATAAAATGAACTAGACTTAAAATGTTCGATTCTCAAAAAATAAAAATAAATAAATAAAATAAAATGACTTATGGCCATTGGTTGAAAGTTTGTCGTCTTACTCATTTTTAGGACATTTGCCCTTGAAATTGTCTAGCAAATTATTTTCTAAACTTTTAATTTTAATAATTAAACTTATAGGAAATTAAATGGGTCTTTGCGGGCCCACAAGATAAAAGGGTGAAAACTGATTGGATGGTCAGTAGGATACTAGTTAAAGTCCTTTATATATATTCGGTGGTCCTTGAGATTGCTTGCTATAACCGAAGGGATTAGGGGACATAAAGTGTACCACTAGATTCCCTTTTTTTAGTAGCGAAAAAAAAAACCTCTGAACTTGCTTAATTGTTGCAATTAACCTTATTTAAATAGGGAATTTCAACACAAGTGATCCAATTTAATGGATTTTTTCTATAGATGGTCAAAGTTTCGTTAAATTACAAAAATGATCGTTTTTATTAACTTATTGGTCAATCAATTATTGATTTAGCGGTCCATCACTGATTGATTTAGTAGTCAATCACTGATTGACTTTAATTTATTATTGATTAACTCGATGATGCTTTATTATTAATCAATATTAGTAATTAATCAATTTCAATCAACAAATTATAAGTCAATCACTGATTAACAGTGAATGAATTGTGGACGTTTGGTTCATCGATTTAGAACCATGATTCAGAACCATTCTCGTTTTACGTATATTTTTTGTGAGAGAAAATAATGTAGCGAGTCACGAACCATGGTTCGAACCATAGTACGAATCTCCCTTCCAAACGCACGCAATTGATTCCTCAAACAACGGCCATTTTCGTAAAATAAAAAACTTTCAGCCATTTTTGTAAAATAAAATAAAGTCGGCCATTTATGAATAAAAGCAGTAAGAAACGGGTTATTTGGCTAATTTCTCTTTAAATAGCAGCGGTTAAAAAATGAACGAAAATAAACACGTTTTAGTCATGTGTAGGGTTAGAAAGGATAAAAGCGGCATTTTAATATGTGTTAATTATTAAATAAAAATTAATAAAGAATATGTCGACATTACCCAAATTAATAAATAAAAAAACTCAAAGTTGTTTTGGGATCTGCCCACAGTGGTGATCGAATGGTACAGGTTTGACGTGAAAAAGAACCACAAAAGCGACCCCACCACCCCTCTAAATCGGTCGTCCAAGAGGCCAATATGCTAGAATGACTATCCAACAAAGTGAAATTAGCAAAATGACCTTCTTCATTTTTTATGAAGAATGACCACCTAATCATTCTTTGTAAAAAGTGGTCATTTTGCAAATAAAAATTTTTGAAAAGTTATTTTACTAATAAAACTTTTCTATTTAGTTATTTTTACGAAGACCTCCGTCCAAGAAGGCACTTCTTGTTTGTTTCTAAGAAAGTCTCCAACTTTTCTTTGAAAAGTTGAAATCGCCGAGGGGGTTTTCTTCCACCACCGCATCGTCAACGAAATTAATTAAAGGAAAGAAGAGAAAGAGAAACACCGATGAGGAGTTCAAAAATTCCCGTTCAACTCAAATTCACCCTTCACAAGAAAGTGAATATTCTTATTTTCATGTAAACCAAAATACCAAATTTTGAAAAACCTCAAATTAATAGATAAAAAACTCAAGGGGTTGTTTTTTGCTTTAGGATTTCCATGTCTAAATGTATTGAGATCTGATTACTGTCAAAGAAAAGAAGGAAGAAAGCAATGAAAATCCAAAAAAAAAATCAAAAACCTATTTTGAATTGCTTAGCCTCCCTTCTTCTTCTTACTGAACGAATCGACGTTCCCTGGCATCCTCAATCTTGCCGCCAAAAATGACGTCGTTGCCGAAGTTACTAGGGAGATTTGGTTATTAATGGTCTCCTTTTTATATTTTATTGTTGTTTTCTCTAACTTTCTAATTTAACTATGCTTTATTATTAGTATGTGATTTATCTTTATTGTTATGAGTTATAAATAGCCACATTAATCATATAATTGAGAGACTTAAATATTTTTAACATGAGCTAGCAGTCGCTAGGGCTTTTCAAAACAATTGTAAAATTGGCACCAACCGCTAACTGACCGAAGAAAACCGATTGAAAGCGAAACCAATCATAGTCGGTAAGTTAACCAACCGACCACCACACATGGGCGGTCAGTGGTCGGTTCCGGTGGCCGAGGTCGTCAATTAAACTAAACCGACCGACCACTATTACACACTTAAAAAAAAGATTTGTACGGAGGTTTAAACCTTCAACCTAGATGTTAGAAGTGTTGGTCCCCGAATCGAATTCGGATGCGGAAGCGTGGTGGTGGTGGGGGGGAAGGCGGATCGTGTATAACAAAAATTTTCATAAAACTTTTGAGATACTCTATAGATTATATTAATTTATGCACGAATAAATTAATCTCATTAATTCATTTATTAAGAACTCAATCAGGAAAAATACCTGGAAGCCGACTCGGATGATAACTTGAGTTCTTTGACCACGAATAGTCCTTGCTCCAATCTTCGTGTTTAGAAAACCAATGTCTTCCACGTCAATTCCTAGAATCCACGAAGACGTGTGTGTAGGCACACATGAGACAAAATGGGTTACAATAAACACTCGAATTTCCACAAACACCAACGCATGCACGATGTGGAATTTTTGGAGAAAAATTTTTCCTTCTCTCTATAAGGGAATTTCGGCCACCTCTAAAATTAGGGCAAAAATTAATTCCAAAAATTGTCTCAAAAATTGTCACAAAAATTGCATCCACAATTTTCTACTATTCTTTTATTTATAGAGTAGAAGTCAAACTTCTAGAATGAATCTAATCTCTATCTCCAATTTTGAATTTCGAAACGAAATCTCCTCTATCCCTTATCCCTTGTGGCCGGCCATGCTAGGGATTCCTATCCATGTGTGTGGCGCCAATACTGGATAAGGAAGGAATAGAAAATCATCCTTTATCCTGTAGTCTAATTTTTATTTCAATTTCAAATTCGAATTTAAGTTAAACTTAAATTAATTTGAATTTTTAAATTGAACAACTTATCAAATAAGTTTAAATGGATAAATCTAAATGTGTTCAAATTCAAATTTAAATAATCACATTATTTAAATAATAATTAATTCTCAATTAATTATTTTTGAGTATTTAATTTTAGAATTTCGTAATTCTAAAATTCTCATTTTGCC